TTTCATACTGGAAGCTTTACCTTTAAAATCTACTCCCTTCTTGCGAACTTTACTGCAATTTATCATATATAATTTCTCGCGAACTTTACTGCAATGTATCATAAGAATATTGCATTTTTTACTAAATACTATGATAAATACATGATTTTGTATCAGTATTAAGTATCGTATTATAAAATCTGAGAATTTCTAACTACACTTCACACGAAGTCGGAGGATATCAAACTTCAAATAAAATCGTACTGGCCATGCAATTTCTAAGTACCTATTTATTCACGGAAAGCTACTTATATCATTCAATAAAACATTTATTCTCAATATCGTTCTCATTAATATTAAACAAATCGCGAGTACAAGAAGCCCTGACCTGAGCTAATATATAAATGAAATACCATGCGATAAAATATAAAATTGTTACTACTCCCGAGCATTTATAATACCATTATAAATGCTCAGGGTCACCATGCTCGTCAAATAAGTATAAAGTACAACCAGTCACTCATGCCGTTTCGGATCTTTCGTTCCGGCATGATTAAGTGACCGGAGGAACTTACAAACTGTTACAAACGTACCTTGCTTCCATCAGTCAAAAGTCGAGGAATGTCAAGAACCAGCCACCAAAAGCAGTGGGATACCAGGAACCGGCTACCAAATGTTGTGGGATGCTAGGAACCGACTACCAAAAGTTGTGGGATGCCAGGAACCAGCCACCAGTAAGTCAAGGAAGAAGAATAAAGATGAAAACTATAACAGATAAGCGAACAATTATGACTTATTCTTATATAGTTCTTTAGTAATTCTAACATTTCCGAAAGTACAAGCAGTGCATCCCGGGCATGTCCAACAAGTGGTTAAGCAAACGCGTATTTGTTAATTGGTATTAATACCGAAAGTCGACAAATAATAGTGTACGAATACTTACACTTGCATAAACATGCGTCGTAATTAAGCGTCTGAACTATTAACAATTACGTGCATACAAAATTTTGAAGATTAAAACGAATACCGGTATACCAGAACAATGAACACTTGACGCTACGACGCACTTACACAAAAAGCAAATGGACGACGTTCGAGCCAACAGAGTAAGGGGAGGAGGTCACGTGACCGCGAGTTTCACTATTCCTTGATGTGCGGCGCTGGGACGAAATTCCTCAAATGTCACAACACAGTAACACTGTGGCATTAGCCTCTTGGTGCAGCAATGTCACACTATTTGCATATACCATAAGCTGATTTCATTTGGGAATATGAATTTATTAACTTGCGCGAACAACTTATTAGCATGATAGATTTAAGCACCTTGACAGATGTTACTTACGGAATAACTGATTCGCTATTAAATATTGTACTTCATAGTAATGTTAAGTACGAATGATTCAGGTTAATAAATCGTATCCTATACTCGAAATGATATTTGAAATACATCGACAAAACAAGCTGTGACCTATTCTTATTGAAATGACTGATGATATGATTATATTGACGTAGTCAATCTTATTTAATACTCCGAAATATAACGATTTCAAATAGATACTAAAGCTATGTGTAAGTACAAAATTAGTGGATATTACGTATTTTTGAAAGAAATTATTTATATAGATTTAATGATCATTCTTTTCAGCTATTCAATTATGGATGTGCCAGAAGACCTTTTGATTTGCCGTTTATGTGGTGTAAAACTTATAGAAGGAAAATACAAATATATCTTCAATGAATCTACAGACTTGATATGCAGGATAAAAGAAACATTACCAATTTCTGTATGTTGATCTGTTAGCACGAAAATTCTGTTTCTTAACATGTGTAATACAATAAAAAAATAATATGATCATCACTATAAACTGTCGATTTTTACAGATATCTATTGATGATGATGGCCCAAAATGCATATGCTTATCGTGTTACGAAAAGATCAGTTCTTATTACAAATTCGTTCAAGATGTGGTAGAACATTCAAAACGATTGGAAAATGCATCGGAAATCAAATCCTTCTTTGGCTCGTCGAAAGATGTACCAAATATTTCACAAATTCGTAGCGATGCCGTCTACCCATGCCCGAATTGCAACGTAGACTTAATGATTTTATTAGTTAGTAATCTGCAAGGCTGTGACACCTTTCAAATCTCTTTAGCTATGGTAAATGATGCGAACAAAAAGTATATTACAAGAGCGGAGAGTAAAAATGTAGAGTTCCTCAATAATGTTGGAATGAATGAGCTTTTCAAACACGAAGAGAAAATAGAAACTGTAGAGAAGATCGAAGATACGTCTTATCAAGCGAATGTTAAACAAGAAGATAATATAAATTTCATCGACAAACAATGCTTAGAAACTAAAGGAAAGAATGAATTAAAAAAGCACTTCAATGAATTTGACTCTTCTGATTCTCCCATACCAAAAATCTTGAAATTGGCAGAATTATCTTCTGTGCCTAATGAAAACATATTGGGCTGCGATTTCGGTTCTGCAGACCTATCAGTAAAAAATGAGCCAGAAGGTGACAATGCTTACTGTGCAAACAGTGAAAGCGAGAAGAACGCGTATGCAACTGATTCGCAAAATATTATCGAAGACGACGATGCACATGACGACAATGACGAGTACAAATCTTGTTTAAAATACGTGTGTAAATTATGTGGTGCACGCTATCTCTCGCATTTAAAATACGAATTTCATGTGGAGAGGCACAGAGCAGGTAAAATACATAAATACGAATGTACCGTATGCGACAAGGAAACAAGAACTGAAAATCTATTATGGGATCATTATTTTCATACGCACAAAAGCTTGCAACGTTACGTCTGTACAGAATGCGGTAAAGTATTTAGGAAACGGTCCAGACTGAACGTCCATCAAAAGAACTTCAAACACTGCGGCATGAAACAAATACAAGTTGATTCGAGCGAGCATACGATCAACGGGGATGATGCAACGCAAACCACACGGAAACAAGCTTGTGTGAACTGCAATCTTTGCGGTAAACTGATATCAGATTTAGACCCGGATGCTATTAACGATTTAGTTACTTGCGCTACGTGTGAAGATTCTACGCTGTCCTTAATGGTAGACGGAAACGAGACGAAAGTGATATGTCCGCGACAGTATCATTGCTCGAAATGCCCGAAGCACTTCGTGCGAAAGGAGAGACTTGAGTTTCACGAGATGCGGCATAATGAAAATATGAACGAATTTGTTTGTAGTACTTGCGGGAAGGAATTTAAAGCTGAAAACTCGTTGTACGAGCATTATCTCTTTGTACATAAAGGCGCGAGACCTCACATTTGCGAGTTGTGCGGTAAATCGTTTCAGCTGAAAGCTAGACTAAAAGAACATCATCGAATTCATACGGGTGAACGACCGTATCAGTGCGACATTTGTGGCCAGCAATGCAGAACTACAAACGCTCTGAAACTCCATAGAAAAATTCACTTTTCACATAACAGATATGCTTGCAATATATGTAATAAATCATTTACTAAGAAACAGAACATGAACGAGCATTTAGAGAAACATTGGAAGACTGACAAGAGCGTGACGTTACCGCAGTTGTTCACATGTCCGATTTGCGTGGAGGATTTCCCTACGTATCGCATGCTGAAGTATCACATGATGGGAATTCATGAGATAAATAATCAGGACCCAATTTTGATCAAGCAGAAACCATGGCACGAATGCCGAGAATGTCACGAGAAGTTTAAGCATCAAATGTCTTTGAAGGCGCATAAAGAGAGGGTGCACGAAGGGAAAGTAAATCCCATTTACCAGTGCGACATTTGTAACGCCACGTACAGAGTAAAACAACTTTTAGTAAATCATATCACCAGCAAGCATAACGGTGAGAAACGTTATAAGTGCGCACAATGTGAAAAGGGTTTTAACGACACCAAATCTTTATACAATCACGTATTGTTGCATACCGGGAAAAAACCGTACGTCTGCGAATATTGTAACATGAGTTTCAGGAGGAAAGACTCTAGGGATCATCACCGTAGGAAACATACAGGGGAACAGCCTTATCAGTGCCCGGACTGTGGCGAGTCGTTTTCTACCTACAATCATCGGTCTAAGCATCGGAAACGAGAGCACGGGGAAGGAGATCCCGAGTGTCCTGAATGCGGACAAAAGTGCACCAGCCAACAGGAGATACGAATACATTTAAATAAACATTTGGGAGAGAAATTGAAGGAATTACAGAATTCAGACGATGTCTAGCTTGTACATTTTCAGTTTTCGAAATACGTACGAACGTGTGATTATTTTTTAAAGCAATTGTATACGAAATGTACAGTTATACTTGTTATGTATAAATTGTTAAAAAAAGTTTGTAATAAAAAGGGCAGATAATTCTATTTTGTATTTGTTTTGTAAGTTACCTCGGTACTCCCATTTCCTCGTGTTTGCGTCCAGGAGCTTGGAGCACACGTGCAGCCGGGAGAAATGTCAAAATTTAAATGGTTCCGCCACTGCGTGGCAGCGTGGCACTGTCTCGCAAAAATCAGGTGGTCGTATCTTTCAGCTGTGTGCACGTCACTTCATATCTGTACGAGAGTATACATGTGTATCGCAATTACTCATGTAACGAGGTTTTTATTCGTATGTCATATAAGAAACCCATCGGTGGGAGTAAACGAGAAAAAATTCTATTAGGGGACAGGTTTCACTTGTAAACCCCATTTAAATATGCGTAATTTTTCGAAAAAATTAATAAAAATCACATACGGGGAACTACTTTCGCGCGGAGTAACATCAGGAACTGTTCGAGCGAGTCAATATTTATTCCTTTCTACCGGCAGAACTGACCATTTTTTTGTATGGAAAATATGTTCGACGGAAGGTCCACGAATTTTCGGAGCTCTCAGATGGAAAACCTGTTGAAAGTCTACGTTACTTGGATGATTATTCTTTAAAACAATCTTTGCGGAGGCAAAATGTCGTGGCACGATCAGGCAGACGCGAGCCGGCTTCGTTCATTGGCTGAACGAAGCGAGAGATCCACACGTATAGGACACATGTGTCTCCCAGAAATATGTATTCACTAACACGAACTCGGTATTTTCGTACAGGATACAGGAATGTATCTATTCCATGTAATGCCCACCAAATTTCAATTAAGCTACATCCTTTCTTTTAATAATTACCTCCCTCGAATTGCATTTTTCAACACCTATTTCGATTAGGATACTTTACTTGATGTAACAACAATTATGTATCGTCTATAAATGAACCTGGTTCCGGAATTCTTTTCTAAACAAATGAAACTAAGCTTCTATTATTGCTGCATTATTAGTTACAAACTCTGCATATCATTATTAGTTATTTATTGTGATAAATTCAAATGTAATCTTTAATAAACAGAAATAATATTTTTAAACGATGATGCAACGATGACGAAGGCAAAAACGTTAGATACACATTGTCAATATCCCTGACATCGTGGTAGAGCCGGAAATCATGTAAAACCGTACGAATCGCAGTGTTTATCGTAAAAGATAAAGAATAAATCTAATAGTGATTTACTTGAGGAGAATTTTGGATAAATACGATCCTGATTCTACGGCGCAAGTAGGGGCGAAGGGAGAGGCAGGTCGCACACACACCGGCGCAGAACGAAGAGCGAATTCACTCGCCGGCTCCCAACAAGATCGCGTCGGCATATACACCGTGCTTTGAACGTACCGAGGTTGATATATTTGTTATTTATCCTACGGTCGAAGGCGAGTCAATCGTGAAAATGGCCGGGGAAAAGCGTAGCCAGGATCAAGAGGAAACGTTACTGACGGGGACGGTGATATTGGTTGATATTGAGGGCACCACAACGAGCATAAGCTTCGTGAAGGTAACAAAGACCTATGGCCGTGAGACAGAACGCGCCCAATGGTTCTCGCATTTCACCGGTTTTGCCGGCGTATTCTCTGACAATACTCGATGATACAAATTTTTTTCACGTAAACTCAGTTTCCGAGGAATTTTCGAACAATTATCGCATGATTTTCCGGGTGAAAAGGATTCGCGAATATATTAGTTTCGCGCGTATTGTGCGTGCTCTCTCGGCGATACTATGCCGGCTGAAATCCAGTTTCGGGTTTCCTGTTTCCACCGAGATAGCGAGTTTCATGGAAGCTGCTAAGCAGATGCTGTCTCGTCCGAGATAAACCGACTAAAATCGTTTGCATCTCGTCGCGCTACTCGTTTCTGATTTTACTTTCGGATGTTTACGCGATCGTGTTTTTCCTTTTTTCTTAACAGACTTTCGAATCCTTAAAAATGCCCTTTCGTAAAAACAAACGAGATGTTTGTTGGTGAAAAACGTGAGTCCGCTCGTGACGGGCAGTCTCGTCTCGAACGTTGATGCACACTGATATTTTTCAAAATAACGGAAACCGTAACGGCGCATCGCTGTTAATTCGATCGGCGAAACTCACGTTTGCCTTCTCTCCTTTCAGGACACACTTTTCCCTTATGTACGGGAAAATGTGAGCAAATACATCGAAACGAAATGGGGGGATGAGGAATTCAAGAAAGATCTTGAAAAATTAAAAGAACAGGTACACATTCTAAACAGTGTTTCGGGCGTTAAAGTAAAATTAGAAATTAGCAAGTATTCGCGATTTAGATTATTCCTAATTCACATTCAAAAACTAGAGAATTGTTTATAAATATCGCACGCAGAGATACTTTTATCTTCAATAATATTCTATATTTCTATTTTATTAACATTATAATACGACCCAGTACGAATTCAATGCTATGGCTTTTGATAAAGAACCTTAGAGGCAGCAAGAAAGGGGCAGCTGCTTAGAAATTTACCTGGGAATTCTATGCCCCTAAAGTTTGTTACCTAGTCTACGCATGAATGGAACCCGAGATTTCGATCCAATAAAATGTTTCGACCCACTGCGATCAATTCATTTTTATTTGAAAAATATTCATTAGCAATAAAGTTTTTTAAAATAATTCCGTTTTCAATACCACGTTACATGCAACATCACTCGTCTTCTTTAAGATATATTTTGCGTAGCGTCGATTTACAAATCTGTTCACGAATACTTTTATCATAGGCGAAAAAAGACGAGGAAGACAAAGTCGAAGGTTTCGTTCCTATTTCTGGTGCCAATGCCGAAGAAGAGCGACAATCGCTCGTAAAAAATGTATTATGGCAAATGGATTGCGATCGAAAAACTGGTCCATTGAAACAGCTACAAGGACACATGTGGCGCGAAGCTTATAATTCTGGAAAAATTAAAGCACAGTAAGTGTTTGTTCAGTACGATTTAACGCGAGGACCCGAAATGCTTCAACGATTAAAATAAAGTCGTTGTAATGGTTCAGGGACGTTTAGAATGTTTTGAAAAAGACTAGCTTGAAACTGTGGTGAGGTGAATATGCGTACGGGCTCACTTCAATTAAAACTTAATACAGTACAATCAGGGCTCACGAAAAAATGATCCAGGAACTAATAGATGAATTATTTATACAGTGTTTATGACGATGTACCGAAAGCACTTGAATCATGGACGAGTGATGGAAAGAAAGTCTATGTTTACTCGAGTGGCAGTGTCGAAGCACAAAAACTACTATTCGGACATTCGGAACACGGTGATTTACTCAAGGTACTTCAACTGCGTTTCATTCTTATAGAACAATTCATACCGAATGTGATAACGTATTGTTCCTTCTAGTATTTCAATGACTATTTTGATACCGAAGTAGGCGCGAAGCAGGAGGCAAGTAGCTATAAAAATATATTATCGAAAATTGGAGCGGAACCATCAGACGTAATTTTCTTGACCGACGTCGTCAAAGGTTGGTAATAAATTATTTTATAGTGGGTTAAATATAACGATAATAATTATCGATTAATAATGATTCAATTCTCGCGTTTCCTTGCAATAGAAGCAACAGCTGCTAAAGAGGCAGGTTTATCAGCAATAATAGTATTACGCGAAGGCAATGCTGCTCTGACGGATGAAGAAAAAGTGGCTTTTACGACTGTTAAATCGTTTTTGGATTTATCGTTTCAAACGTCTCCGAAACGGCAGAAGTTAGAGAGTGCTGAAGGTCAGGAGAACGCAAGCACGAAGGACAAGCCTGATGCTAACGAGCCGATGGACACGTCCGAAGACGTTGAAATGTCCGATGCTAGCGAGAAGAAGATCGATAATGCGCAAGCGAAGGAAGTCGCTCAGGATGCGGACAAGGTATGTGGAAAAGATCAATTAGCGAAAGAACCGCAAGGCGACAAAACAGGTGAGCCAATGGTTATCGATGCTAAAGACCCTCCGAGCACTGAGAACGCACCTGATAAGTCAGAGGCTCAGCAATCAGAGGTGAGTACAAAAGTAGACGCTGCCGAAAAGGCACAACCTGCCACCGTTGAAGCGTCCAATACCGAAAAGTCGACAGTTCCCGAGAAAATAGAAACACCTGCAGAGACAAAAGAGGAAGCGAAAGAACCTAAATCGGAGCCAATTCCTACTGCAAATGATTCCGCTGCGGTGAGCGACTCTAAGACAAAGTCCGAAGAAGTTTCTAACACAGAGAATAAGACTGAACAACCTACGAACGTCGTTAAAGAAACAAAATCTCAAGACGCCACAGTGACGGATGAAAAAGTCGAAAATAGTATAAACGAGAAATCGGAAGAGTGTGCCAAGAAGGTAGAAAATGAAACGAAAGAGGAACCCTCTGAAAAAGTAGTTAGTAAAACAGAAGCTCAAAAGACAGAGACCGAGACTCCTTCCGCGAAGTCTGCGCAGGAAGCGACAAAACCGGAAGATAAACCAGCGGAAAACGGTGATGTTCCATTGACGAATGTAGAAAAGATTTCTGCCCCGACGATAAAAGAAGCAGAAGCTGTTGATAGCAAAGCGGATGGAAACACCGAAGCGAAAAGTGCTACAGAGTTGATCAAAGAAACGGAGGAGACCGCGACTCCGAAGGTGAAAGATGCGGAGGAAACAGTGGAGAAACAGAAAGCAAGCGCGGAACCATCGAAACAAGAATCCGCGGATAAGTCAACGAAAGAAGAGACAGTAGACGAGGCGAAGGAAACGAATGCTGATGCCGAAAAGAAAAAGCTAAATGGTACAACGCAAAATGGAGACACAGGTGACAAACTGCAAAGAAACGGATTGAACGAAGGACCCTCTAGCGAAAATGTTAGCTCGTCTACGAGCGAAAATACATCCGCGCAAAACGGTGAGCCAGAGAGTTCCTCGGAGGGTAGCGCGGAATCTATAAAAGTCAAAAAGGTCGTCGATTCCGCGGTAGCCGACGGTGCTGGTGAACCCGACGTTGTTCCACCCGTAGTTGTAGCTGCGACGTCTTAATCTTGTTCTTGATACATTTTAAGAAGTCCTTCATACATAACCCCAGCCCATAATACTTATCCGCAGATATAAACTGACAAAAAAATTGGCTCCCTAAATCTTACATAAATCGTACGACGTTAAAAGTGTAGTACGTTAATTTAAGACACAGTTCGTATAAGATTTTTCTATTTCTATTTCGAAAAGTGTGAGGGAAACAATAATACAATGTATACAGCGTGTTTCAGATTCGATTATCATTCGTATGGCGCATGTATGTACTTTTCTTTTTTCATAAAAGAGAACAGAAAGCTCGATTCCTACGCTACTTAATTTATTCTATTGCAATTCTATCAGTCATTTTATTTAGCGATATTTCTTTTACGTTTGATATTATACGTGTACTTATTAATTTAATTAAGATAATCGGAAATGTCACTCGCTGTAGTCTCATTTTCCTTTTTCTATTGCATTTTATGATGTGTATTAAGATTCTTTTATACTGCCTAAACGGAATGTTACGGTATGGAAATGCATAACATAGAGAATTCATTGTAGTTGGAGTATGCTAAAATAGCGAACGTACTTTGTGCCAAATGACTCGATTCGCCAATTTTCATGATGTTTCTATGATTATACTTACATACCATGCAACGTTCAAAGATCTGATCGATATTTTAGTTACTTGCAACAATCAGGGGAGTTTGACTATGTATGATTTTAAGACTGAATTGGTAATGCCTCGAACAGTCGCTGGCTTTAGTCTATATAGATTTTTGCATACTGTTCATGTACTTAATTTCATGAAGTGATAGCGACACAGTGGTCTTCGAACTTGATCGACGATGTTATAGAAGTATTTTTGCCACGTTCTGAAGGACAGTACGCGACATCAGAGATTCCTATCTTTTTTCTTCCGATTTATTTATCCAACATACCTCTAGTTTATAGCACTTCGAACCATTTTTGTCTTTTTTATATATATATTTTTTTGTACCATTACTTTTGTCGATGTTAAGTGACTTTCGAACGACTGAAAATTTCTTATTGCATTTATAATGAATAAATATTCAAATTACGGTCAAGCATCATTGACCGTAACTTGATTAGTTATTTATTATCCATTCCTACAAAATTGACTGTGATTTAACGATATACTGCTAGACATAGGAGACTTGAAAACGATTCATCATTTATCATGCATGCATATCAATTTCTTTGCCAGTTCATAGTATTATTGTTAATTTTGTTCAAATTACACGTCCTTGCTCTGTCGAAATCACTGTGAAAAGACTGTAGACAGTATAGATAGTAAAGATGAAAATGTTCTTCATTTCTTCCGCTTCTATTTTTATTTTTGCCGGCGGCTATGCCAGAAAAATTCAACGACCCGCGACAGCGATTAAACGAAACAAACGAAATGCAACGTCAGCGTGTTCTACACTCGTTATCTATAAGTACCATATGTATAGTCAGCAACAAGTGACATTGCGAGACTTCGAACAGATGCATATTTTACAGGACACTAGACAGACCTCGCATTTATTTATAAGGTGTCCCTTTCTTATAAACCTTTTTAATACTCAACGATTTCATTTTCGATGTTGCTTGAACCATGACGAGTGAAAGAACGGAGATCGAACTGATTTTAAACGATATCTTATCCTTAAGTCGAGATTAAAAACAGTTTCCAATCGGTATTATAAAATGTAATACGATTGCATAATCAACGGACGCATTATCGAACGTAAATATGCCCAGAAATGCTCAATTGCGATATTTGCGCGATTTTATTGAAATTTTAAGGGAACGTCTGTTAGGATGCACACAATGTTAATAGTATCCGAGTCACAATTCTTTTAACATCTTTGAATCCTAACGTCTGTTAACATCATATTAGAAAAAGAACAACTAAGTGACTGCCAACGATAAGACTAAACGGGCCTACGAACGCGAATTGGTGGTGTGTACCAAGTTCCTCTCGGCTGACTTTCACGGCATCATCCGATATCATCATCCTCATATCATCCATTCTTATTCTTGCGTCAATAGCCAAAGGGACCGAATTGCACACAGCCAGTCCGCGGCGTATTTCCTTTTTTTTTTCTTCCTATTTCATATGCTCAATTTTTAACGAAATCTAAACCCCCCTTTCTCGGATGCGTACAGGATCGATTTTAATTGTGGTAAACTTAGTGACCGAAATGGCGTTCTTAGGGTACGTTAACTCTTACTTCCATTTCTAAGTATTATTTACGAGTATTAAGCTTCAAGTATTTTACAAATGAATTGATTAAAGAGCTATGTGAAAAATACGTTGAAAAATGATTCTTTTCTTTGACTATCAATACTGCAAGTAGTAAGGTAAATTAAGATGTGTTGTAATCTCGTCAACGTTTGCTCGTGCTCGATGCGACCATTTCTCTAAGGATACAGAATGACTACAAAAAGTATTGACATACCATGACACAATTTTACATAATTACAATACAGAGTTATCACCAAGAGAATGATTCATACCCCGATCGGCTTCATGGCATGAGGAAAGCTGTGTGAAAAAGATTCATGGTCTTATCAATAACTTTTGGAGTCATATAGTTTTGTAATCGCGTGACAACTGTACACTGCCTTATTATTTATTATTTTATACGACTTAGCAAAACTTGAACGATTAAGACCCATCAGCTAAGAAATTTTTTTTTTTTTGAGATTAAAGAGATGAGTACCTTACATGTATGTACTATCGTTTTTTTATATTTTTAATCGCGACTGTGACACATTTTATCATTTGAACTCATACGTAACACGACAGTTGTGGATCTTGTAAGCGCTAAGCATGTGAGTTTCGCAGCTTACAAATCGCACAGCTACTTTAAACTGTATACTTAAGATTCGTCCTCCTTTCGAAGTATATTAGATATCTAATTAAGTATCGAAGATAGGAATTACTAACAAACAATAGTATCGTATCGATTAGCGATTATTATTTGTAATTCATTGGCTATTTTATATAACACGTCAATATAAACGTAGGAGAGAATGTACGGACTTTATTGATACTTTTTAACGATAAACCTTCTTCGGAGATACTTTTAAGGATCTCGTATGCTCGTCTGTTCCGTTGCCCATCAAATATTTCCTACTCCCCTTCTCATTTTTCTTTCCCTGCTTTCATTTACACGAGACAATTCGCAGTTATTACTATTTATCAGTGTTGTTATATAAACGATTAACGTATGCGTGTTTCCATATGTGTGTGTGCGTGTATAAGTGTGTGCGAGTGTGTTACACGACGAAGGCACAAACAAAAGCTACGATTTATTTCATCGTATTAACATTGAACGGTCATTGAAGCCATTTTACCGAACAGAGTTGGAACATGCTACATACTGATTGTGAGGCTCCGAAAATAGTATGCACTGTACAGAAAACAATCGACGATTCCCCCTTCTCTCTCTCTCTCTCTCTCTCGTTCATATTCGTAGAGCAAAATAAACGGATTTTGCCATTAGAATTCGTGCGTTCATCTTTTATTTCATGGTTCCTAAGGGAGATAATATATTTGGATACACGCGTTCGGATGCTAAGAGAAAGAGAGAAAGGACGTCGATGATATCGGAGCGAATTTGAACGTGCTCGACTCGATAGTAGTTTAATTTTTGTTTAGATTTATCCAAGGTATCGTGCAACTGGTGGCAAATTATTGCGTATACGACGCGACATGATGTATATCTAAATACGTGGTACGCTAAACCCGTAATAGAAGCAAGGAACTAATTAGCGTCCATAATTTAAAATTAAAAAGATCGAAATAAATATATATATATATATACGTACATACACATATATATGTATATATATCGATGCACACGTCAAATGAAAAACGCCCGGTATTGTTTCTTCGAATTGGTTCACGCTAACTCTCGCCCTCGGCTAGTCGATAACGTTAGGTGCAGCAGGCATTTTCACCCGATCGATTCTGACATGAGTGCTAGTCATTCTACATACTACTATGCGCACCGCGGCATCAATTTTCAACCAGCCAGTTTGCCAACGAACATTATCAAACGTCTCCGTCGTTCCAATGACAGTTTTCGTTAAAGCAATAACACTTCTCGGGTACGACCACTTTCATTTCCTCGACGTAATGTTAAGAACAAGATGTATCCAATATTTGGTACTTGAAATACATATTGTTCAAATGTACGAGACCCTGCTTTTTATAAAACACTCCCGTACGAAGTGTTGAAAGGAAACTGAACATACACCTCCTCTTAATTAATCATTTTAAATATATATATATATATATATATATATA